TTTGACAATATTCTTGTGAAAGTATTTTTCTGTTACTTAGCTTTTCATGCACTTTTTGTGTTGACAAATGATTTGCTCGCATTCTGTTGATATATCTTCGGCACTGTGAAATCCGAATCTTGAGTTTTTGATTATGGAATACCCCAAGGCACATTTCTTGGACCTTTGTTATTTTTTATCCATATAAACCATTTGGCAATGAGTGTAAAAGATTGTAGCATCTAACTATATCCTGGTGATACAATGATATCGTTCGCTTTCAAAAGTGTAAACGTCATAGAAGGAATTTTAGCTGCTGAGATGACAAATACTGCTAAATGGTTAGATAATAACAGATTAATGATAAATTTGAAAAGAGGGAAAACTGAATCAATGCTGTTTGGAGCTGCAAAAAGACTCACAAAGCAATTTAAAGTCTCATTCAAAGAACATCTCATTAATTTTGTAAGTGGATTTAAGTACTTGGGAGTGACACTGGATCAATCATTTAACATATGAATGACCATCTTCAAAAGACCCCAAAGAATGTTTGAATAAGGCACTTAAAGAAAGTGAGACATTCGCTCTCAACTTTTGCAGCTGATTCAGTCTACAAATATATTGTTCTCCCTAAAATATCACATTGTTCAAATCCTGGGCTCGTAGTGTTAGACTCAACGGCATTTAAATTTGAATGGTTGCAAAGGAGCGTCATTAAGATCATTCACAATCAGCTAAAGAGCAGCAGAGAATGTGGACTCGTGATCATTCAAAATCTTTTAAAATTCAAGGCAGCAATATAGATCTTTAAATGCTTGCAAGAAACTGCCAGAACAAATCTTGCAATATGTATCCAGAAAGTGGACCACAATAACAACATGAGGAGAAGTTTATCAACGCTCCACCTTCCAAAGGTCAGGACGGAGGTTGTGAAAAAGTCATTTTATTTCCAAGGCCTTTCTTGCTTCAACGACATGCCAATTGACATCATCGTTTAAAAGAGCATTTCCTGAACAACTAGTTCACTTCAGAGCCACTAATAACTATCTTAAACCCTTTTTTACTTTCATTTTTAACTTGTAATTACTTTTCATTCTCAACCGTGTAAATACTTTTTTAGAACAGGGCCGTTATTGATAACAGTGCCTTTGGCACTGAAAAAGTTTTCACCTGTATGTATAAAATTTTCTTCTCAGTATGTGTGCAGTGCTGTTCAGGACTATTTTTTGGACCTCGTTAAGGGACGGATCACCTGGAATTTGCTTTTATTATTATTATGATTATTATTATTATTATTATTATTATGATGATGATGATGATTATTATTATTATTATTATTATTATTATTATTATTATTATTATTATTATTATTGGTGGTGAACAAGGTTGACGTGTTGTGAGACGCTTCTTCTATTTGTGATTCATTTAATGGTAATCCGTCGTAGCTGCCGCCAAAAATGCTGCCTTGTATATCATCAGAATCTTAGCATCAAATGCAATTGATACAGAAACTGGAGAATTACGCGAAAGATGCCATCAAAGCAGGGAAAGTCATACGTCTTGAGCGCGAAAACATTGCATGGATTAGGCCACTTGATGAATTTGCCTCCCACCTAAATGACTATATTGGATGGAATTTGAAAAACAAGAAAGGGCCTTTCGTCAGTCTTTGAGCAGCAGGGGAGTATTCTATGATAAATTTATCTGCAAGGGAGATTTTGACAAATGGAAAAGAGTCCTTAAAGTCATCACTGGAATATTCGTGAAAAGTGGGAAATTTCAACAACAAAGCTTCAATGGCAAGTCTTGGAACTTAAATCTAGAACTGGAACAATATGGGGTCATCTCTGTTACCATCAAGGAACCGTCCCTTGGTGGTAACAGAGATGACCCCATATTGTTCCAGCTAGAAGAGCAGTTGTCTTATGTCAATAAAACAATACAACCATTCTTTTCACTCAGACAAGGCGTGTTCACGGATGATACAGTTTCCAGGAATAAATTGACAGATCTTTGGCTGCACAAAAGAAAGAGGGCAATTCAAGTTATAAAGAACGATTGTAAATGGCCAAACAAAACACAAGTAGAAATTGATCAAGCGGAAACAGAAGCGATCTATCGAAATGAAAAATTGTTTCTTTTAGAAAATGATTCAAGAAACGAGGAAGAGATATCCTTTGCTGACAACAACGAAAATGATATCGAAGAAGTTAGTCCATTTAATGAAAAAGAAATTGAAAACGTTGTGAAAATATTGAATGGAAATGGAAAATCAGCAGGGCTGGATGGGGTTGTGTATGAGGACATAAAGAGAGAATTGAGTTCAATTAAAACTGACATTGTGGGCATATTTAATACAAGTTTAAAAAATAGAAAAGTACCCTCCGAATGGAAACATGATATAGTGCAAAGAATTCCGAAAAAGAATTATAGCCGCGAAGACTAAACGACACTTCGTGATATATCTTTATCGTCTGTTATTTACAAATAATTTTCGCGTTGCATCATAAACAGAATTCTGCCCTTCATTGAGCCGCAAATTGAATTTTGGCAAAGGGCTTTTCTTAAAGGAAGAAATAGGCAAGATTTAATTTTTTGCCTGAAGACTGTTGTTGGTGTTGGATGACAATGTTGTTCGATGTTGGATGTTGGATGACTTTAGACAGACAATGTTGGATGACTTTAGACATATAAGCACAAAACTCCTCATTTATTTATTGACTTTGCAGATGCGTTTGGCAGTATCAAGCATAGAGAAATTACAACCACATTGCGCGAATACAACATTCCAATTGTATACTGTAAGATTATTGAGCACATATATCATCGTTCCAGTTTTCAAGTTATTTGCGGAAACAATCTGACTCAGAAAATTTACATCACAAGGGGCACAAAAACAGGCGACCCATTAAGCGTTATGATTTTTCTAGTGATAGTGGATAAAGTACTAAAACCAGCATTCAATCATGCCCTGATTGGTATAAATATAGAAAATGAAAGAAACATAAGGCCAATTCCAATTCAAGCATATGCAGACGACATTGCAATGGTAACATATGATTTAAAACTACTTGAAGAGATGATAATAAAATGTGAACCACTCTTTGATCAAGCTGGTTTGAAAGTAAAGGCATCTAAGTGTGCGTTATTTTATGAGCGAAGGTCAGGTAACAATTGGTATAATGGAAAAGGTGACAAAAAGCCAGCCATTAAAGTTCAAGGAGAAACAATAGCAACGTACAAGAGGTCCGAATCGCATGAATATCTTGGCGGGTCGTTTACCATAGCAGGCGAAGACGAAAAACAAGTTAAGGATTTCATCAAAGAATTCAAAGATATAATTGGTAAAATCAAGGAATATACGCTCCCTATTGCTTTCAATAACATGGCTTTAGCAAAGATTTCACACCAATTTGAAAACACAAAGGTAGAAGAAAAACAGCTTGAAGAACTGGATGCAAAGATTACGAAAACCGTTAAAGAAATGTTTCATTTATATCCCAAGAGCAGTGACAAGATATTTTTCGTCAACAGACTACTTGAGGGCCTGGGGATAAAGAGACCATCAAACGTATATAGGGCAACACGTTTATCTAATTTGATGAAAATGCTGAATCACGATGAGGAGAACATACGGTATCTGGCAAGAAAATCTTTGGAATTAGACATGAAATCACGTGGTGTTAGACAGACAGATAACGAAACTAATTTTTTGGGTTATGCATTAGATGCCAACCTAAGACTAGCAAAGACAAAGACATATGGAGGGAACTCTGATTGGCCAGATCTACTTTTTCATGCTAACATATTTGATGGATCAGTTATCTTCAAGGATGGTTTTGCTGTGGTTGTCGCTAATGGCAAGGAGTTGAATAGGAAAGATTTGAAAAGAGAAACTGAGGGGTAATTGGAGAAACAGGATATCATTGAAAGCTGTGAGCTCCGCATGCAAGGAAGTTTTATAGGAATTGAGAATATAGATAAAAAAATTTCGCATCAAATTTATTACGGATGGAAACTCTCTGATAGTTTAGTCAAGTTTATTCTACGTGCACGTATGAATCAAATTCCTTGTAATCAGCTTCATATGTGGAATAAGGATCACGATAAAAGATGTTCAATGTGCAATGAAGACTGAATCAATGGCACACTTGATGAATTCCTGCAGAAAGTACAAAGATTTATACTCGCGAAGGCACGATCGGGATCGTAGAATTCTTATGCCAAAAAATCCAAAAAAAGAATTCAACATCAACATTTGTCAACAAAATGGTAGAACCAGCTTTTCCAAACATCAAAAATGCATTTCGAAAGCTAAACCAAAGAAAGCCTGATATACTAGAGATAAAAATGAATAAGAGAGAATGTGAAATTGTTGAAGTCACTGTCTGCTTTGATTTGTATATGGATACATCCTACGGAGAAAAAGAAAATAAGTATCAACCACTGATAAACTTAATGAATGAAAATGGAATTGCAACAAGAATCAATGTCATGTGTTTTGGATCACTTGGGACCGTACTTAAGGATGTGAGGGGAAAATTGAAAAGGCTAGGACTATCAGGGGAAGAGGCAAATAAAACAATGAAGTGGTGCAGTGTATCAAACATGATTTGTGGTAGCATCGTATGGCGAGATAGGTGTAAAAAAGTGCATGGACAGTAGGACTGCTAATTTCTGTTGATGTGCAAGGAACATACTTGGCTATAAGAAATTTACAGTTTGTTCTCAACTTGTTAAATCATATCCGATATTATTATGTTTGAATTTGTATGAATTTTCCACATTTCCTTTTAGTGGCAGTGCTGGTAATATTATTTGTCCAGTGGATCAGTCAATTATTCTTCCTAATCAAGTATTTCCTGATACGTATGCAAAAAGGGAAGTTCTTAATATACCCGTATTTTGCAATTACCGTGAAAATGGATGTCAATGGAAAGGAACCATTCGTGATTTTGAGGTAGGAGGAATGATATTTCACACTTATTTTTGTGATCTTATGCTTACAAAATAAACATGAGAATGTTATACTCTTCCATTTTCATTTTTTCACTTTCATTTAATTTTAAAATTCCACTACATACAAAAATCATCCAACATGCAAAAATTAACAAGACTCTATAACAAGCCAAAAAAAACATACAAAATACAAAACGGCTTTAAAAAATACAGAAAATTGAAACAGGGTTAGTCTCTATAGAGGCAGATTGTTGATACACTAGGGCAAGCTACGATTCTGTATATATAAGCTATAGAACGAAATAAAAGAAAAATCAATTTTAACTTAATGCAACTATTAACAGCTAGAAATGTGAACCAAAGAGTTTATGTTTTTATTGGCAGTCTAAGAATAAAGGACAAAAGGGAAATTCTCAACTCATGTACGGTCAACACTCCTATTTTCTATTCAAAAGACATATTCCACAAGAGTTTATTGCCTTTCATAATGGAACCAATATCCTGAAGGTACACCTGCTTTTAGAGCTTGGCTGTCCAACTTCAAATGTCATTGTTGACAAATATCCCTAACTTAAAAGGATTTTTGTTTTATATCCCTAACAAATATCCCTAACTCATTCTAAAAGTAACCACTCATTCTTCGTACACAAAAAAGAAAGAATTTTTAGGAACTTGCTACTCGTACCCATAAAATGAAAACCTGTTGTCAAACATAAGCGACTTTCTGAGATGGCAACTGAGAATTTTTTTAAAATGATCGAAAACATACCATTTACAGAATATTTTTTTGTAGCTTCACTGGTCACTGTACGTGTTAGCTGCTCTCTCTTAAATTCAGACTCTCAAATTTTAAGTATTCTTCAGCTTATAAAGATCTTTAATTATACTGGTCTTTGTTTTCATTTATTTGTTGACTATAAAGTTTTCTTTTCTAATAAAATGAAGCATTTTAACCTTAATTTTGATGGTTTTAACGTTGTAGTTGGTATTTGATTTTGGCATAGGGGCTCATACGTCCTGAAATCATGTTTCACGGATACTGAAGGCATTTGCCATGTTGATTATATGACACATTAAGAGGAAGACGTTGAACAGTGGCATCTTGTATCCAACACAGACCAATGTCGTGTACTTTATCTTAGCAACCAAACAGACATATCAATGAGATGCAAATTGAATCCTTGCAATAATCAAACGAACCATCCAGTTTATCAACATAGAAGCATTACTAACCTTAGTTCGACCATTTCTGGAGAAGGCTGGAGCTTTATCAAGCCTTAATGTAACTAAACAAGTTAAAATGCTGGAAAGTGTACAACGTCGTGCCACGAATCTAGTAAATAAAATCAAAGACCATTCTTTCACTTGAGTACAGAAGAAAACGCAGTTTTATGCTCTTCGAGTTGAAGCAGAATAACACAAGAGGAAACAAATCGAAATCATTTAAAAAACGGTGTAACTTAAACATTCGCAGGTATTTAAGAAACTATGTGATTTAAACATTTCGCACAAAGAGTTGTTAAAGACTGGAAAAATTAAACGAATAAAGTCATCAACTCTTCGACAGTGCGAAAGTTCGAACAAGCATACCATCGGCTAAAATATTCGAGCAAAGTTAAGAGAATTTGGAGGCTGAAGACTGCGATGATATTTGTTGAAATGAAAAGAAATTAAGATGCCACATCTACAACTGGCCTTACTTTCAGTATTCTACGGGGAATATTTTGGAGTTGTTGGCACATTGGTGGAAGTAAAGATGACAACTTAGACAGGATATTGTCTAGAATTGATGAGAGTTCTGGTAAATGGTGCAGCAATTGAAATTGCCAGAATTTTCAGCTGACGTATATTATTTGCTTGGTATTGTAGATGTGAGTATCCGACGTTGTTGGATTGTGGTACCTTCAGTTATTTTTATGTTTTTTTGTTTGGGTTGAGTCTGATGGAGCCGGTGTTGGTCTGTTACCTGGGAATTGCATGCCTGTACATGATATCAAGCTGCAAGCACAACAGCGTGTGTATTTACTTTAGCTAGGCTTGTTAAAAGATCCACCCTTCAGTGACCATTTACCCTTCTCTAAATTGTTTTTGAGTACTGTTTGATAATGAATCTTAAGAAGTAGCGCCTTATCATCTTTAATGCTGTATTTTGTACAGGAACATATTCTTAAATGTGATTTCGAAGATATCCTTTGCCCCGCTGAATGTGGCAAAAGAGTCGCAAAAAGCCTTTTGGAGAAGCATGTCAACGAGAATTGTCCACGCAGGCAAGTCGAATGCGAGCATTGCCAAATGAAGGTGCCCGTTTCAGAACTACAGGTGTGCAGCTGTTTCTATTATTCCAGCTTAAGCTTTTTATTGTCCGTTAAAATGGAATTTTCGTCCAAGAATACTATTTGTCGGATATTCCCATTTGCTGCCGGAGGAGCTTTCTTCAAAAGAAAGATATATGCTGTCACATCATACCCTAATTGTTTTTTCCCTTTCAATAGCCATGCTGAAATAAATGGGTAAAAAGCAAAGGAGTTTAATCCTTACATATAATCATTAGAACCAGAACATCTCTTAATCAGTGCACTGCAATTCCGTTACAGAGTTTTTTGCTGTAGCATACAATTTCTTCTTTGTGCACATTTGGAATCTGTTATTTTCTTAGTCGTGAAATGGAAGATGAGACAAAATCTTAAGAAGACACTGCAGTTTTCCTTTGCAAAAGTGGTAGGAAAGTTGTTGTCCATGGTAGTACTGGTAAGATTTGTTTATGTGACGAAAGAATGCATGACGCTTTTTTGAATCTCATTCTAGAGCCATTACAATGCATGCGAGTATTGCCCTATAGATTGCAGCTTTAATTGTGGTGCTGAAAAGATACCCCGTAAACTATTGCAAGAGCATTTTGAAAAGTATTGTCCAAATGCTGAGACTGCATGTTATTTCTCATTTTGTGGTTGCATGTTTAGGGTAAGTTATTAATTTAGCAGAGTAAAAATTATGAAATGATGGCTATCAAATTTAAGGCCTAGGTCTTTATGCCCAGCTTAGGGTAACTGGATGTTTTTTTTGAACTTGAGACCCCAAGATCAACTAAAAAGGATTTGCATTTAACTGTATTACAAGAATATGCCTAAAGCGGTGCAAAATCATGGAGTGCTATGTTTCTTTAAAGAATTGTATGGTCAGCCCTCGTGTTGTTACTGTACTTGTACGGAAGCTCAGTTCATGTGATCCTCACGTGATAAACGACGATGCTTTCTACATCTCTCAAGAACAGCCCTTGCAATCGCATGAAAATTATTTATTTGTCACGTGGCAGTCAGTTGCAACCTCTATAGATTTCTTGGTTATGACACTTCCCGCTCTTAAGATCATCTTATTTCTGATCTCGCTGAAAAGCATTGAGTTTTGTTTGTTTGCTTGTCTAGAGGCGATCAAGCGTCACAGCTCCAGTTTTCAAACACTTCGTTTCCATGCGTCTCCTAATTCGTTTTATTTCATAAATTCAAATGTGGAGGGTTTACTGCCCAGATAATATCATTATGTTGGAATATTCAATAACCACGCACAAAATAATTTCGATGAATAGAGGGCAACGCCTGCTATTAATTGAACTTTGTTCTTGTTTGGACTTGGTCCAAATCTCCAGAGATCAGTATGTAGTTCAGTGATAAATATCGATTTATCTACACGTAATTTTATGATAATTTTGCATGATGTAGTTGGATATCAAATAGTACCCCCAAAAACATAGTTGTTGCATCTTTCTTCCAACGAGGGATATATTTTTGTAATCTTCTTTGCGAATCATGTAAAAAAAACATTTTTATCAGTTGTTGGTCCAGGTTAGATAGTGGAAGGAGACGGATCAGCAGGGACAGATTGTAAGCTACTTATGGACGGAGATGGTTGGTCTTTGTGAATGTTCCAGTCTGTTCAAAACGTTCTCGATGAGAGCCTTGATGCGCTTATAAGCATGAAATTCTCCTTCCACATCTGAGTACCGTTATTTCAGAATTTCTTCCCCAGCCCAACTAGGGTGTACAGACCTCTAGGCTGTACGTTACATTTAAAAGTTGGCGATTTGACGTAAAAGAGCTCTTTTAATGTGTTTAAGTAAAATCAGTTTCAGTTAGCATCAAAAGCTTTTTCGCTACATTTCTGTAATTGAGAAAGTTCGTCGTCTTTTCTGATACCTGCAACTCTACCTTTATAAGGGGAAGAGGGAGGCCATAGAGGACCACCTCCGGCAGGAAGCACACCATCATCTCAAACTGGCTGCTAAACATGCCAGCCAGATGGAAGCAAACAGTGCTAAATTGCAGATGCGGCTAGAGCAGAAGGCTTCGGAAGCTGGCAAGTTGGAGGCTCAGGTCATCTTGCAAGGTTAGTCGCCTTGTTTTCATGCACGGGGCCATTGGGAGGGGGCTGGGGGGCTGAAGCCCCCCACTTTTCAAAGATAAAAACTTTTTGGACGTCTTTTTTTAATTATTTTATAAAAGAGTAGAAAAAGAACAAACTGAATTTTACTAATTTATTTAGGTATTTTTTTTAATTGTCTATTCAGTAGATACCTTTCTGTATCATTACCATGTCTGCATTTTGGATGTGTAAACATGGCCTACTGAAAATAGTCGAGACAAAGAAGATGCACATTTCTGTTCAGGAAGTAAAATTTTCTTAATCAATACAACAGCTTCTTGTTATTCAAATCGATATACACTTTGAACCAAAGGTCACCCTTTCTCTCTTTCCCCAACGTCTGCCACTAGCATTTTAGCATGGATCCGCCCCTCCCAAATTTTTTCCTAAAAATCAATAATCAGTGATTTTCTGAGAATCGTTGAATTGTCTGTTCTAAGCGGTATATTAATTGTTAATCTTAGTCTGGGAGATGCATTTTTGGCCATTCTAGAAGGCTGAATTTCAGAAATTTTCAGCCCCCCCCCCTTCCAGGTTCATTTTCGTTGCGCCGTCTCTCTGGTCTTGGAAGAAAATTTATTTGCAATTAATTAGATGTACAATTTCTTTACAATTTATCCACCTAGTTTCAATCGCACTCTAGGTGCTAGCTCGTATCGCACTTCCTTTTTTGTGGGAACTCGATAGCACAGTGTCAGTTCACTTGAGGCCACCTTGGAACCTTTCTGTTACATGATGGGAAGACTTTAGACAAAACGTACTGTGTCATACTTCTTAGTGTTCATCCAAACAGCGCTTTGTCTATAAAATCGAGTGCGACTTTAAGACTTACTATCAATTCAATGCATTGAAAACCCTTATGCAAATAACTAAACATTAGTTCTTGGTATGTAGAATGTTGTTGAAAACGCGCAAATCCTGTTCATCGGTTTGATCTTCTTTCATATTTTTCGCAAAACATTATTGGCTTGCCCACTACTAAAACAAGCGACAAAGTTCATTTGCGGACCTTGAAAAGAAAGAATAGGTTTTTCCAATCTTGTTGTGGAGACTAACTAGTGAAAATCTTTAAATGTATGAGGTCCTCCATCCTTGTGTCAAAGAGCATGCGTGATAATGATTTCGTTCTATGCGCATGCTCTGACTCCAAGACGGAGGGTTGCTTCTTCCTTCTCTTGTTCGCCCCCCCCCCCCAACACAATCACATTAGGTATGTTACCTGATTTTGTGGTATCTTGAGGTTCCAAATAGCTTGTTTAAATCAATTAACATCTTTTCAACATATGTTTATCAAGGCGAATGTTTAAAGTCTAAGCTAATTCCAATGATAACAATGTAATGATAAAGATTAGTAATTTACTTTAAGAAACTTAGAGTAAATTTAACTAAGATTTTATACGTACCAACCTTGAACTAACAAACTATCGATTGCGAGGAGCAAAGAGAAAAACAAATTTGCGGCGAAACCCTTTATGAAAATGTCTTTACATCTTGTTCCAGTTTGGTAGAAAAAACGATCAAATGAGTTTTAGCTACCGCGAAATTTGAAGATCGCACGAAATAGCGTAAAACTAGCATACTGAAGTAGGTTTCGTCCAACCCTCTTCAGAGTATAAACGTCGAATAGTGACAGAAATTAAGGAGAACATTATATCCAGGCATTGGTCGAAAGACACGTGAAAAATTGCTTCAGTATGATATGTTTCAGCAATTTCAAAACAATGAGCTTAGTTGTCGTCTTTTTGATGTAATTGACGGTTAATGGAATTTTCATAGTTCGTAAAATACCATCATATCCAGAAGTAAAGGTTAAAGGAGAAATATAAACACCTTTTAACGATACTTGTGAAACTTCAGGACTTCAGAATGTTTCAGTCTAGCTGTATAGAAAATCGAAGTGACTGCCCGCTCTTACCAAAATGACCCTGCCTAAAATGGGCGTTATTTACTGTAGTGATTTGCGAGCTGCATTTTCTTGCCTTTCATATTTAGTGTTTCTATGGAATGTGAATTATAACTTTACCTAGCAGATTCGTAGTTTCTACGTTTGATATTTTGCTGTAGGAAATGAAATAAATGCCTTGAAAGAACATCATGCGGGCTTTGAGTCCCAGCTTAAAGCCGTCGAGAAAGAAATCACGATTCTGACGCGTCAAGGCAAAGAAATGGGCGAACGCCTTGTTTTCCTAGAGGGAAAGAGTGGATCAGCTATTGTCCAAGATGTTGATAATTTGAAGGATCAAGCAAGGCAGCTGCAGCTGAAAGCCGACCAATTGAAACAGTCAGTCAATGAAGCTGGGGCACAGGTTCAGTTCTCAGACTGGTCAGGTGCCGTTTCCCTACCCTCAGGTACGTGAGTTTCCACTTTCACTCCCATTTCAAAAGGCACCCCTTCCCCTTTTCATGGGAGTCATCTCTATAAAATTATCGTCTACCCTGCCATAATTATTGTTGAAACAAATACTTTTAGGGAAGTCAAATGGCAATGAAGACCTTGACAGACGTATGGATAAACTTGAAAATCAGCTGGCAGTACAAGACGTGCAAATCGCAGAGCTGAACTTGAAACTGCAATTGCTAGAGTCGACCTCATATGATGGCAAGCTACTGTGGAAAATTGACAATTACAACAGGAGAAAGCAAGACGCGATAACTGGCAAGACGCCCTCTCTGTACAGCCCTCCGTTCTATACCAGGTTTGCAGCACTTACGTTTTTCGTATTTCTAATCCAAAAGATTCTTTAGAGTAGAGTAGAGTGATATAAATTGGGCCTAAGAAGAGAGGCTGTCAAAATGCAACAGTATTTCAAACTCTTAAGCTTCTTATTTGAAGTATGACAGTAGTCCGTGAAAAAGGGGGATTCTTCTAGGTTGAAGTTTACGCCCTGAATCAATGAAAGGATATCCGTAGGATTGGCTAACTAGATTAGAATTTGGCTGCAGGATTCGGCTAACGTTGTTGCTTTTTCGTGGCTTGTCATGTTACTTTTCAATTTGCAAATTTACAACATATTCATGAATAGAAAGAAGCACCTGATTAGTATCTGAAAGTATCTTACAGTAAAACCAATGGTCGTTTGTGGGTTTTTTCAACTGATTTTATCCTATTCAACAACCTGACAAAAATTCAAGGTTTGAAATTATTTGAATCAAAAAATTTCAGGGAAAGGGTTATTAAAGGACAAGCTTTTGGCGCCAAATTTTTTTTTTCTTTTTACTTAAAGTAAAATGCTGTATGGGAGTGTTGTTGAAATATTTTTCCTTTCTGATTTCATTTTCCTACTTAAAAACCCTTTTCAAATTATGGCGGGAAATTAATCACGTGACACTATGACGTAGATTGTGATAATTTGTTATTGCTGCTACTGGTATACAGTGCAATATTAACGTTTACAACACGCTACTAAACAAACTCAGTTCCTCTGGACCTGTCGCGTCGTGTTTCGTAAACTCTCTATCAATGACAGGAAAATTCCGAGTTATCACAATGTACGTCATAGGGTCACGTGATAAAAAGCAAAATCGCGATCCCTGCGCCCCCTGGTTAGAATTTTTTGTTCTTAACCAGGAAAAACTTACTTCTAAATGATGATCTATAAGTTAATGAAAAGAAAAGATAGGGTGAAAAGTGTGTCACTTGTCCTTTAATATGTATTTGAAGAATTTTTTGCCGATATAAAATTTGAAAATGCCTTTGAAAATGGTTTTATACTGTTTCACATTCTGCTTGTGTGCAGAAGGGGTCGTGCACCAGATTTAAAAGAGTAAAATTACAATCAACTTCTGCTTTAACAAGTTTTTAGAACCAATCTTTTCACAAGCTTTAAAAATTGGTATGGATGATTCCATCTTATACGAATTTACAGACAACCCTAACTTCACGAAAGAACAGAGGGATGCTCTTAACAACCTATAACATATATCTAGAAATGTAAAATTGTCCAATGTCTTTGCCGAATCTTTATACGAAATACCTCTGCCATTACCACTTATTTTATGAAAGGAAATTGCAAGATCAATTAATGTAAACAAATAAAAGTTTATAAGGCTTCAAATGCTAAAAGCACATCTTGTTATAAGGGAACATCGGAAACGTGGACGTTATTCGACACTAATTTGATTATATTAGAAAAATAACCAATATTTAGTAGGATAAGGCCGAAAGAAAGGAAATATTTAAAATCTTTGCAGCAGTTAGAGAGGATGAAATTACCAAATCTGCTAACAGTCATGGTGAAGAAATTGGATGATAGCGATTACATGATCGACAATAACAGTGTAACAGATTTTAAAATGTTCACATTCAAGAGGCACAAAAAGCTGAAGCACAAAAAGCTGAAGCACAAAAAGCTGAAGCACAAAAAGCTGAAGCACAAAAAGCTAAAGCAGAAAAAGTAACTGTACCAAGGGCACGACCTTCTCTCTGGGACTGCGCTAGAAAAGATTTCAGGATTAATATCAATGTGCCTTGCTCTTTTGTTAGTATGTTGAGCCAGGAGGTGATGAAAACTCAGTTATTCTCCCATCCGTCCTGTTAAGCCCCATTACCAAGACCTTGACCCAACCAAACGATGTGAGAGATTTTTTCCCTACTGAAGAAACCAATCTAATTACGCTAAAAAATCAATTGTCAGAGGTTGTATACAACTCAAATGCGAAAATTTTCCCACTCTTCTACGGCAACCATGGTGCCGCCTCGGAGAGTAGAAAACGAGACTTTTTGTTATGTTTTATTGAAACGCATACTTATCAATAAAAAAATTGACCAAAAAATTCCAATTTTTCATACGCATAGGAATAAAACAAATTGTTCGGTTTTTTGTAGCTACAGAGGCTAAGTTTTCAGCTTTCAACTCATGAAATCTCTTTTACCTAAGTTTCTACAAATCAAATGTTCGGACTTTCACACTTGTTGGTAGAGAGGACACGTCTATGTCTGGGCCCGGGGGTCCCAAAAATAGATAATTAAATCACAACTTTTCACTACTAATAGAATTATAGGTTAGTGAAACTTTATAGAATTTTGATTGAGAAAACTGTTCACAATTTGACCATAAGTGTGGCACTTGTTTATGTGATATAATTTGTAGCAATATAGACACTAAATTGTATTCTAATTAAAGAAGATGATTGATAATTTGATTTGTGATTATAGGATGTTTAATGAAAAGCCCAAAACCCATATCGAATGGAGGGGTGGGGTATCACCAATGAAACTACACTAGAAATGCATCTAACAGTGTTTCACTTTCTTTTCAAGCCGTTTTGGTTACAAAATGTGTGCCAGAATTTACTTGAATGGCGATGGGCAAGGTAAGGGAAGTCACATATCCCTGTTCTTTGTCGTTATGAGAGGCGAATACGATGCGATGCTTGACTGGCCATTCCCCTGCAAAATCACAATGAAGTTGCTGTCACAAGAAGGAAATTCCCATGTCTCAGAAGCTTTTCGACCGGACCCGAATTCTTCAAGCTTTCGTCGGCCTAAATCGGAGATGAATATCGCGTCTGGCGTTCCGCTGTTTGTTAGTCAGCAGAAAGTAGGCAATGGGGCATACGTCAAAAGCAACTGCATCTTTGTCCAGGTCATCGTCGATACGTCCACACTGCGAGCCCCTTTTTCCATTTAAAATGTATTGCGTGTTCAGGTTTTGTTGCTTGACCTTCCGCAGAGTACTAAGGGTCAGAATGATCGTCAGCAGTGTAGCGAAACAGTGGGTTGTCTTAGTTCATCCGTATATTTCAAGCCATTGTCAAGTAACAATTTACATCCCAAAAATGTCCCAAATTTACGAGAGAAAAAAATCCAATTTGTAGCTCAATTTTACATTTATCGGCAGAGATTTCCATGAAGAGCAGGAAAGGACCAGGGGTTTGGGACCATTTCGGTCATGGGTAGTGGGGTGGGGGAGGGGGGGGGTGGTTGTCGTTTGTCAAGGTATCTAAGCAAATTCTGTTTCGTCTTGGTTCATTCGACCCATCGATTTAAGATTCCTGAACACGCAATATCTGAATATTTTAATTTAAATAAAGACTGACTTTTGACTCAATAGATTTGAGTGGTATTTAGAGAGTTTTCATGTTGCGTATCTTTTTATTGAATTATGTGTTTGTTTAAAAGGTATTTGCCGAATTGTTGTCTAATGCGAAAATTGCTTACAGTCTCTAAAAGTGATTTATTTCCAACAACTAGACTTCAGTAAAATTTATGAAGGAAACTAGGCCTCTTAAAAGCGAGTGGCCAAAATAAAGTAACTTGAAATCATTTCGATCTATCTTATAGTCACGCTAATTGACATGAATTGGAGAAACTTAATGGGCCTCTCCAGCCAAATTTTGCACTTGCATTTTATTGGCTAATTTTGCACTTGCAATTTTGACGTCACAGTGTATTTCGTTAGTCTCGCCTCAAACCGAATCGAACGACTGCGATTCGCAAATTGAACACTGCAAGTGATGGTAATCTCAGTTCTGTTCCACCGGCCTTAAGTTTGAACATTCCAGATATCAATTCTGAAGTCTTTAGTCGTTCATCGTTTCTGGGATTACCATCACATCAGTGTCACCAAACCGAAAACTTTTTGTCGGTTAATTCAATTCAATTATCGAAATGCAAGAGCTTATATCTCATAAACTGTAAAAAATATCGAAAAACAAATAACGATATCTTGATCAGCAGGTTCAACTTCTTAAGATTAGCCAATAAAATGCAAGTGCAAAATTTGGCTGGAGTGGCCCTTTAATGCTTCATCCATCTTTGAAATGCTGCATGGCAATGTATTGCTTTTCAATGTTTGCTAGAGTAACAACGAATAAGATTTGAGTCACTCACAATTCCCGAGTACTTGCTTCTAAGTTTACAGATTTGCTACCTATCTGTATTTGCAATACGCTTAAATATTGCTACTTTAAGATCTCCAAGGCGCTAAATTAGTGCAGATCTCTAAAGGTGCTTAATTATCATCAACTTTACTATTGTATTTGTTAATAACATAATATGGAGCTCTCCCGAAAGTGGCCTTTCTTGCTTGACCTCTTCTACGTGTTTCTTCTGAATTATTTCGAGGCAACAAAGGGCACTGTCGTTCTCCGCTTGTGTCTGCCGCGTTCTGGGTTCTGCGTCATCCACAGCAGCGTTCTGCTTCCTATCCTGAGCAATACTTTTCACCTTTTCAGATTTTGATTCTCAACCTTCTTTGCCTTAGCCTTCCTCAAGTGCCCGCTTTGCTAGAGACCAAGAAAATTGCAGGAGTTAATTCCTAGAATCTTTTGAATACCAAATTCATGTACATTGAACCTGAAGGTGACTGCAAAAATTTCCCCTACTGTTAGATGCAAAATACAGAAATATTTAAACAATTTCAAGTTTGTAAAAGCTTTGCTTAGTACTGGCAGGGGTTATTGCTTGCCTTGCTTGTCTTGAAGTGCATTTGTTCTGTAGACACGCTCAAATAAAGATCATAAATACACTTGCGCACTGGTAAACGAAATAAAGAGAAGCTCGTGTGATTTTATTTAACTGCTTGCTATAGTTTCGGAGTCGCCTAAATTACAAGCTAAAACCTAGTTATGTGCTCGCGTTTCTTGCTGGGCTATTTATAGCTAGATAAATATATTTATATATATATTTCCTAGCGTAGAATCTCCTATCATTATTCTAATGTTTTTTAAGACCTGAAAATGTCCCATTTTTTAAACTAAGTATTGTTTATTGCTCTTGGGAAATTCTCATCACAAGTTTGCTTGAGTTCGAAGTATTTTGAGTCTTGAGTCAACAATCAAGTTCCTGCATCGAGCTTGAGGCCTGCATTATTTCGGGGGTAAAAAAACAAAATACAACAGACTTTCTGGATTGTAACATGAATAAGAATACTTACGCAAGCATATATCCCTCTCTTCAGTTTTCTGTTTGTATTTCTTACAACAGTGTGTTATTCTGTATAATGATCCTGTTTTTTGTTGATAAAGCACACAGTCAAATATTAGGATCATGAGCATCACAACGCCGCTAACAGCAAACGCGACGATCCATTTTCTTGGCAGGCCTTGGCAAGCTGAAATTATCAAAGAAGTATGTTTATCAAGTGTTATCAAAGGGGTAAATTTATTAAGTGTGCTTGTAACACTCGGTGATCAAACAGATGACAAAGAGGGTTGTTGGTTGTGGAAAAGGCAAAGTCCTGCCCGGGGTTACAGCTCAGCCATAGCACCTATTTGTCGGTAAATTTGCTACTTTGTCAGAATTTGATTCAGGTCATTTTTTAGTATTCGGATCAAAATTTCCTCTTGGAAAATTTGTTGAAAAAATTTAATTTGACTCCGAGCGCTCCAGTAATTCCATAGTTTAAATGAAGAAAGTTTACGCTACACAAGCAGACAAACCGGAAAATAAATGGAAAACTCAATGTTATTGGATGTAACTCAATGTCGTCACCAAGGGCAGTACAGTCAGAATTTCATTTGAATCTTTTGATAATTACAAACGGCCGATGTCAAGGGAAAGTGAAAAGGGCACTTTGGCCCCCTTGCCCCTCCTATCAAAAGGCAACAGGGGCGGTTGACCTCCTGCGTCCCCTTACCGACGTCCTTGGTAGTCTAGCACAAAATTAGAACATTAAGTGATAAATAATTTTCTTCTTGAAACATCAAAATGATTTTTCCAAATAAATAAGACAAGACGTGTCTGCAAAAAATGTGTCCTATGTGCACTTCTGATAATGTAAAAAGTTCAACCAATAACCTAATGTTTGAACTTGCACTTTGGCAACAGATCTCCCCAAAAATCATTGCGCCCCTTTTACTCAATACGTGGATACTAGTCCCTTTTCGACTTATATGAAAGAATGTTTGGTAAAAAAACAATGTCTCACTTTGTATGTTGCCAACCGACTTTTCCCTCTCTGCTTTGAACATACATTTGCATGTACTTGGGTTCAGATATTTATTCATCGCAGTGCACTTTATGTAGGCCTCCGTTTTGCAATTGCATCCACACCTTTTCTTGTCCAGCTGCTCACGATGTCCACATCTTAAATTGCAACCACAGCTGCACGTGACTGGATCCCATTCAAATGGGTACCTGCATCTCCAAGAAATTGATCTATATTCCGGCTTGCATTTACATCTACAAAATAACATTCATCCGTCATTTTTTCACTTCTTCACCACCTACAAGCCTCTACCCTCTGGGATGTTAATGGCCAGAAGACTGAATGAAACTTTAAGCTGTAAGTTTCAATATATATGCTTTATTTCGAGTTTTCACAAATTTCCATAAACGTTTCATTTATCTGTCCAGTTTTAGTCAGTTGGTAAGTGCTAGGTGAGAAAGAAGGATGCTTCTCTCAATATAAGCTATATTCATAAAAGCAATGAAAAACAATGACGGCTGAGTTCAGTCATTTTGATCTGAAGTAAAAGTCACTCACTTGCAAGAACGATCATCAAATATTTGTGTTTCTGGAGAGCATGCCTTTTCATCACGAACGCAACGGCAACTGCATGAAGTATCATTGCGTAAATAAACTGTGTCTTCTTTGAAGTCATTCAGTCTGGTTACCTTGACAGCAATGTACTTTGAAGGTGTACTGGGCACGCATCCCTTTACAGATGGTGGGTAATGCCTGCATGCGCCACCGCAACGATGCAGCTTTACGATGATTGGATAGAACTTGCTTCCCAGTTTATCCACATGCACCAATGTCTCTCGCAAACGACACTCTTCATTTGGCAAACGTTTTGTTACATTGTTTTCACAAAGGCCTAAAAATGAAGTTCATCAAATTTTGCATAAATTAATGTAACAGATATGAAGGCAGAAAAGATAATCCGTTATTCAACAAAACTTCTCGTTCGTAAACAAACCTTTTACAACAACCTTTTTAAAAACAACTCTTGCCTACACTCTGTCTCTCACTTCTTACAGTCTTACCAAAAAACGCGATCCCAAGTCCAGAACTAATCCGGGGGTTAATCCGGGGGATGGTCCTCACATTAAATTTTGCATAAATGTGCATAAAAAGATGAGTATCAATACTGCTGCATGTTCGTGTTCATCGAAAAGAAACTCGTACTGTAATTGGGCAGTATACTTTTGCTGTTAACTCGTCCTCTTCTGTATAAGAAAAACTCTTGTATAAGAACAAATTTTATGAAAATTTCGAGGCTCAAAACTGCTCTAATTCAAGAATTGTCAAGAATAATGTAAGCCAGGCTAAAATTTCATATAACGCGATCCATATTCTGAGGAGAAAATCCACGCACCGAGGAGAAGGAAAAATCAGTATTAACAAGATCGATCGTGATTAAACACAATCCTGGCGAAAAAATCAGCTTGAACCGTTTCAGCCAATCAGGGCCCTGTATTCGCCATGGAATTCATGGTCAGAAAATTTGCATGTTGACAGGCGCTAATCCTCATGACAGGCCTTAATTACATTTGATTCCTTTGATATACCGCACGCGTGATACGCAATTTTATTGCCTAGGTAGATCTCACCGGTTCTTCTACGCTCGAGGCCGAGGGGCGAATTCAGTCTTTGAAAATCTTGTACAATTTCCGTTAAAATCATATGGTTTTATGTGAAAATCCCTAGAAATTATTTTGCTTTGGTAAAAATCATGTACGCAATTTGCCCCTCCCAGTGGCTTGCGGTACGCAAAAGGCTTCAAGCTAAAAATTTGGCGCATAAGGTGAAATATAAATAGGTCATTACGACGAATAGATCGAAACGGGCACAGTCTTATGCCAGTACGTCGGTAAATATTAAGATTCGCGTTTAAAATTCTATAAAGTTTTTCTCAAGCGACGGTAAGCTAATTTAAAGTCGGTTGGCCATATATTGGCCAAGAATAAGCACACGCATACGTTTCCGAAAAACGATTAACCAAAAAACAGTCAAATAGCTCACCATCGACACTAGAATATATTACGTCAACTTACCAAGTCAAAATGTACCATCTTTCCCGCATTTTCCGACATTGAAAAAAAACAACTAATTTGGCGCCAAATTCCATGCCTCTTTCCACGTGCTCCTAACCACCACTGAGTGGATTTGAAAATGATTTGTAGAAGAGCTTCTCATGGAGCTGTGGACATTCCATTGAATACGATTAAGATGATATTCACTTGTTTCACAAAACCTGGAGTTATAATAAATTTCTCAAGTATCCTCGTGTTCCAGTGAAATGTAGCGCAATTTGCCTAGAACCACACACTTGCCAAGCTCTCCCGCGCGAGATGTACAATGCTCAGAATATCTTTCCAACTGTGAATTCTACACAGCCACTGACAGGTTTATATTGCCTCTGTTTTTCACGGAAGCGCCGCGCTATTCGAGCAGCAGTTTTTTTCTGGTTGGCAACATTCACATCGCATCTCACGTAAAGTCTTCCAACAGCCAGTATCGTGATATGCAGTCTTCGCAAACGTTGAGTAAATAAGGGGTGGGGGGGGGGTGGGTTGAAACCAAATAAAAAGAGGCTCAACTGGTGGTCAATTTCTTGATATTTTGCGTTTTCGAAAAAGTTTGGGGCTATAACCCCCCACCCCCTGCTCCGCTCTGCGACACCAGTTGTTGTGGGAGGCTATGAATTCAGCTAAGTAATAAACAAAATAGAGATATAAAGGGAGTCGATCTTGCTGTTCATATTGAGATTAATTTAGCCATTAACCCTTTCGTTATTGACAGAATTTTAGGATTTTTGCCTACTTTATCTAAAAATTCAGCAAAAATTGATTTTTCAAGATAACTGGATGATCTTTTGCCCAAGTAATCATCAATAGCTGTATTTTATGCAAATGATCTTATTATGCCAAAATTATATTATAATTGGACATTAATTAGCATTCAATTTGCATAATTGAATATAACAGAAAAGAACTTTATTTATTAAGGTCAATTATCTTCAATAATAAAACACTTAACTACTTTTTTCTTTCAATAATGTATTTTGTCATAGTCTTAGCACACTGAGTTGAAATATCAATCATTTTTCTTGAACAGTCTTTTTTTAATTAATTAATATGCAACAATGGGTCTAAAACAATTCAATTCAATTTGGCAAGTGCAATTTCGATTTTGACTATTAAGAGAAAGAAAACAAGTAAAAAACACAAAATCTTGGAGAGAAAAGATTGTAATTTTGACCAAATGTTCTTTTTTACTTTTTATGCTTTTTTATTTTTTTCTTTTTTTTGCTTTTTCTCTATCTAATCTACATGAATTTACCAAAAACAACAACTAATCTAGCGATCACGACTGTAACTTAGGAAAGCTTCCTTGTACTGCTCAAACTCTGGGGAATGGAAAAGCAAGAAGCAGTTTCTTTCTCCAATACACAAAGGGATATCACATACAACACAGCAAAATGATGAGGTTTTTGCTCTATAACTTTGATCTATGCTATGCACTGACTTCATAACTGAGCAAACTTTGCAAACTTGGTGTTTCTCAAGCTTCACCGGCAAATGCCCTTTCTCTAATCAATTCTGCCACAATTCCTTTTTACTAACTGCCTTCTTCAAAGTTGCTGATCTTTGCTTTGCACTATTTACTGCATGAGCTGTTGCCTTACAGATGAAGTCCTCTACATTACTAACTTTAGTACCTAAATCTGCAAATGATCTCTAATGTTCGGCTCTAATGGCTTTCTGCTCAACAAAAGCAAGCTGAAGGGCTAAATCCTTTTTAAAATCAAGAAAAGAATAGTTCTTAGGCATTTTCTGCTCAGGGGTTGGGTTTCTAAGCTCTCTCCAAAACACATATGCATCCCAAGCACAAATATCAACAAAATGAAAGAATAATGTTTTCCAAAACTTTTTAGTCCTATATTGAACAGAATACATATGGTACATCTGATCAGACAAATCTACACCATTCATATCTTTGTTATAATCTGAAATGCATTTAGGCCTCAAAACCTTAACCTTTTTATGACTTCCATCAACCTTTGTATTCCTTGTACAATAATCATAATCATTGGCAGAATGGTAGGTGGAGAGAACAGAGACAACATTCCTATCAACCCACTGTACAAGCAACACATCATTCGGCTTTTCCCCATTTCTAATATACCTTATTGTTCCTTGATCAAGTTTCTTCCCCCAAGACTGCCTATTTTTCATTACCTCAGGAAAGGATGAGGAATTTTCCCTTACAGTACCAACAGCATTTATACCAACTGAAGTCAAATATTGGAACAATGGGACACTGCAATAAAAGTTATCAGCAAAAAGAACATACCCCCTGTTTACCAGAGGTTTTGTTAAATTAATAACAACTCTGGCAGCTAATTGGTTGATGAGATTTCCTGCATTTTCTGGATTGGGGTTTTCATTAAAAGCCTTAGCTCTACCAAGTCCTCTTTCTATCCCTTCAAAACTATTATCAACAACACTGAAATCATCCCAATCATCCTTTCTGCTTTTACCAGTATAAACCACCATATCCCAATTGTAGCCTGTAGCAGAATCAGCTAGAACCCAAAGTTTGAAACCCCATTTAGTGGGCTTATTCATTATATATTGTTTGAAGAAGAACCTACCCTTAGACTTAACCATACGTTCATCTATAGACACACATTTACCAGGAGTAAAAAGTTCCTTACAGCGACTTCGCATATGGTCATAGAAATTCCTTATTTTTCCTAATGGATCACTTTTGTCCTCTGTCTCAGGGTTTACACAATGAAGGGCAGCAAGTATTCCACAATACCTAGAAAATGTTGGAATAAACATTGACCCAAGAAGACCAGAAAAAAGCTTATCATTCTGCCAGTAGTTACGCCTAGCAGGGGCCTTAACAATACCCATATAAAATAGACAGGCAAGAAATCTCCTAAATTCCATCAAATCAATGGGTCTCCACACATGGCAACCATGGTCCTGGGACATGTAGCTTTGACCTATTCCTTGACCATACACAGCATAAATGTTTGAGTTTTCAATTATGGTTCCCATCAGATCAAAAGAAAAAAAAAGCAAGAAAAAGTCTAAGGCTCTACAAGGGGCACTGCCTCTCGCCCAAACTACTTTTGGGCCAACACTGCTTACATTATGTGGTGGAAGCCACTTCTGTTCCCTATCACCTGTGTAGCCTAGAGACTCTGCCAAACTACAATCACTATCCTGATACTCCTCTTCACTAACTTCTGACTCGTCTAGATCTCATCGACTACTACAGCTCCGTCCAACTCATCGTCCAACTCAACTGGATGTCCTGAACCAGCCAGACTCTGCCTAAAACAAAGATATAGAAAATAAGCAAAGACAAGATGATTTATAATTTGGTAATTTCTGCAGCAGTGCAACAAATAGTAAAGAAATCTAAGTGAATCTGTTCAGAGCCACCATATACAAAATCAGCTGATTTGTTTATCACGGGCCTAAAATTTCTTGAAAACCACTCCCAAAAAAAACAAAACTTTTTGGCGGTACTTAGTTAGCCATTATTCTAAGATTTTCACTACAGCTTCAGAAATGGTTCTTCTTTATCGCTAATGTATCCAAAAGTTTGAAGGAAACAATATGTAAACTTACGATCCACTCTCATTCGAAGTTTCAGGATTTTCTTCTCTTTGTCGCTTCCTGCAGGGCTTCCTTCGTCTTGGTTCGTCCACTCTTTCCGTCAGAGGTGCTACAAACCGAATTTCTACCTCTCTACCACTTAATAAGGCACAGTCGATCTCAAATTCATCTTCTGAGTCAAGTCCGTTCTCATTATCCATTTTAAAATCAATTTTGAAAAACACGCCTCATTCAC